ATATATATATATATATAATATTTAATAATTTGAGTATTCATATTAGCTTGAATAAGTTTGAAAATCCAAAGTGATATAACTCAGCTTGGCTGTATTGCCTTTTTTATATGTTTGAGTATTTTAAACCCCACCCAAATTAAGATTGCCCTATCCAAATTATTGACTCTAGTTATTTCAAATAACATATTCATGAATCCCATTATTTTAAATATGTCCAAAGAATATCTTAGAAAATCGGAATGAAATAAACAATTCTTAAATTCACTGGCGGAAAAGGTTTCACCCTAACTTCTTGTTTCGTACATATATTTAGAGTTGCTAACAACTAGGGATCGCATTTAGATCGATGTTGCTAATCTGATACTAGTGAAATGAGCTAAGTCTACTTAATTAAACACTGAGTTCCAGTGCGCGTAAATATAGAAAAAAAATTTATCAAGTGCAGACCAAACAATAATTTTTAGATATTTAAAAAATCTTAAAAAATTAATAGAGAGAAGAGATCTATGTTTTCTATAACAAAACACATGGTGTTTTTTGAAGAGATAAATATGGTCTTTAATTATTAGGGTTAAAGGGCATTTTTGTTCCTATATTTTTTTTCGAGGAGCACTAAGCTTCTTATACTAATAAATGGAGGGAAATGAAGGGGGATTTTTGCTCTACTAAAAAATAGTTTAGGAAAAAAAATACTCTATTTATAAGTACAGATTGTCCAATGCTCTTCGAAGAAAAGTGTAAATATTAATGATCATTTTAATTTAAGTAATGACTATTTTTCTTTTAACAATGACTATAATAAAACAAATAATTACAACTTCCCCTCTACAGTTGCTCATTCCATTTTGGTCATTACTAAAAAAAATAATTATTACTTAAATTAAAGTAGTCATAGATATTTCAACACTTAAATTTTAATGAATCAAAAATTTACATAAGGAAAGATATAATTGCATGTTCCATGCTGGTTATTGTCAGAAGATAAGTAGTCATTATTTAAATTAAAATAGTCATGAATATTTACAATACTTGGACTTTAATGAATAAAAAATTTACACAAGGAAATTTGTAATTGTTTATTTCATTCTAATTATTGCCAGAAGAAAAGTAATTACTAATATTTATTTTTTTATTTTTAACTGAGGGTATTAGTTATTTCACAAAAAAAGTATTAATGTCTGAAAGATCCTTAGTGACTTGAGAAGAATTATGACGTTTTGCGAGATCTTATTGTCATTTGTATAATTTTAGAAGGTTTAAATACATGTTTCCTTGTACTTTCCCTTGAAGAGCATTGAGCACCCTATACTATTAAGGGAGGTATTTTTCCCTTGACCCATTTTTCATATGAGCAAAAATCTCTTTCTGTTAATGGATTACTAATGGAGGGAGATTTTCGCCCCTCTAGAAAATGGCTTATTAGTATAAGGTGCCTAGCACTTCTCGAAGAAAAGTATATGGGAAAAAATGTACTTTATCCCTAATTATTATTAGTCACTTGATAGGTATTAATTTTTTCTAATATTAATCCTATTTAAAGTTAATAATTATCATTACTACAAAAATTATCTTTTAGAGTGCTTACGAAAAAAGCACTACTAAATATAGAGATAGAACCTACATAAGTGCTTTCTTTTAAAGCACTCATGTAATATAGGTTTTTAGGAGCGCTCAATAAATGAGCACTCCAAAATATCAGATGAAAAAATTAAAAAAAATACAATCTTTTATGAACGCTCTTTATGAGAGGGCTCCAAAAGCCTTAATTCTTCAAAAGCATTCACATATTGAGCACTTCATAAGAGCTTATTAAAAAAAAGAATATAGACTTTTAGAGTGCTCTTAAAAACAACGCTTCAAAAGCCTTGAGCACATAGGAGTGCTGATGAAAGAGTGCTCTTAAATATAACACTTGTTGGAGCACTCCTTCAATGAGTGTTTCAAAAAGAAAAATAATTAAAAAAAGAATCACAATTTAAAAGCATTTTAAAAAAGAGTACTTCAAAATGATGACCTGTAAAAGCGCTCTTAAGGTCAATAAAAAAATTAAAAAAAATTAACATCAATTTATTATTTTATTTTTATTTCCCTTCGTGCGACACTAGGCCAATTTTCATTTTCTTTGCTCTCCTCTCTCTCCCTCTCAGCGACCTTGAACGATGCAGCATGAGATTCCCCCATGCCGTCGCCGTCGCTAAATTGGAACAACGCTGCTGCAAGTCTCAAAGTCTCCATCGCCGCCCAATCACTAATAGATCCACCGTCGATCTGTTTCAATCTCTTCTCTCAGCACCGTCGATCTGTTCTGCCCTGCTGCCGCACATCACCTGGAAAATTCCACCCTCCGTCACTGCATAATCTAACTGAAGGACACAGGTCGTCGCACATCGCCATGGAAGTTGCTGAAGGACTCTTGATGCTGCCGTTGCATGTCGCTATACTCAAGGTTTTTTTAATAATATATAATAATAATTTATGATTGATATTGATAATATATAAATAAATTCTATTCATAGTTAATTTTTTTGTGACTTTAGTCTCACGTTACTTGATCTTCAATTTGAAATTGTTGTCTTTAGAATTTCTAGACTAAAGAACCACACTTGCACACTTAGATGAGACTAATTCTGAACCACATAGTTCAATCAAAATATTGCTGTGATAATAATATAAATCCGATAATAGTAATTTATGATCTTGGTTAATTTTGCTATAATATTATATTGCTCTCATTTTAGTTTAAGTTGATTTTGAAATTGAATGTAGTTATTATTGAAGTATGGGATGTTGAAATTTGAGAGGGAACTCTTGCTTATTAATTTATTTTTGTTGTATTTGTGAAATTTTTTAATATGTAAAACACTATAATAATCTAGCTAATAGATACACTAAAGGTAAATTACAATATTGTTTGATGGATTTTAGTTACATTAAGCTATAAAATTTTTATCTGTATGAATTGATATATTGTAGTATTGGATTTGATTATTTGGGATGTTTCATTTTTAAGAGGGACTTTGCCAATTTTTTTTTAGAAATTTTTTTTAAGTTTTTGTTTTTTGAATTTCTATGACTACATTAGTAATATGGAACGTAAGTGGATGTCAGTTAATCGAATGTCTAAATAATATTGGGATGGTATGGATAAGTTCATTGAGTTTACTTTTTGTCGTGATCAAAACCCCTGTGAAGTCATATGTTCTTGCTTAAAATTTTACTATGGAAGAAGAGTAAGACCAATAGAATTAAAAGATTATTTGATTTGTAATAGGATTGATCCAACTTTTACTTGTTGGACCAAGCATGGGGAGACGAGGAATAACACTAGTGATTGAAGAGATAGTGTGAGCTACTCAGTATTTGAACATGATAATGAGATGCAAGATATTGATCGTCTTAGATTAAGAATTTCCAGATGTTATGCTTAATTTTTATAGGACTGTAGCATGTTACTAAGGTGGCAAAGGTCTCCCTTTAAATATTGAAAAGCCCTATTATGTTGAGTTTTATTCATAGAAAAGAATAAAAGTTTGTATTATTTGCTTAATTAAACAAGTTGTGCATCTAAGTGATTGTTTGATTAATATTTTAAGTTTATTATTCTAAATATGTTGTTTTGAATTGATGTAGAATTTTAAAAAATTCTAAAATGTCCAATTTATAGGGGAGAGTTTGCCAAATTTTTGCTAGGAAATTAGAATTATATATACAATTTTATCCCCAAAGTGTTAGCAATTAAGTTAAAATTTGTTGCTATCATATTTGGATAATGATATTTTTTATTGTTTTATAGATACCTACACAAATACAAGTTTGGAAGGGTGAATACTATGTGATGAAGTTCATAAGAGAAATAATCACAAAACAAGAGTTGATTATTCCTAAGAATGTAAGCCAAGTGTTTTAAATTTTAATTAATATAATGTTAATTACTTATATGTTGCTTTTATTTCTCAAGTAGCATTTTGTAGAAGCAAGAATTTTACATTTTATCATGGAGCAAATAGAAAATTTAATTGAAGAGTAGTTAGAATATATAATTGGTTTGTTTGTGATAGGTAACTAACTCTTAAAGAAAAATACCAATGATTTCATTTATTAGACAAGCTAGAGATTAGACAAGTTAGGAAATTAAAGTAGTTGTTTTATTTTCAAGTTCTTTTATTCTATGCAAATTTTTATGTTTAATAATATTGTTTTTGAATTGATTTTTGATATTAGGATTAGATATTTTTAAGAGATACAAAAGATAAAATTTTAAAAAATTTAAATTATAAAAAAAATACACATATAGGAGCGTTCAAAAGAAGAGTGCTCCTAAAAAAAGGAGCATACGAGAGTGCTCTCGTATGCAAATATAAGGGAGCGCTCCATAGAAGAGGGCTCCAGTATGTAGAGACCTGTAGGAGCATTCAATTAAAGAGCTCTCCCGTATTTTCATATAGCCATATATTTGGAGTGCTGTCTCTCAATCTTATACGGGAGCGCTTTTATAAAGCACTCCTACAGTCCACTAGACGAAAGCGCTTTAAGCAAAAAGTAAACATTCTCGTAGGGTTATTTCTGTAGTAGTGTATGAGAGATAATGCAATGTAAATTTAAAATTTTTTATTTATATAAATTAAATCATAAATTTATTTCATTTCTAGACAAAATTGATGACTTAACCATATCTATTTACTTTTGATAAAATAGTTAAAAATGTCTTATAACATTGGCATCAGAGACTATATATATTCATTTAATCATATTTATAAATCACTTCTTATATATTTTATCATAATCAAATAAAATTTTAAAATTCATTAACTTTGTCTAAAAATTCAATATACATATTTTAATAATATACTTTCTGTCTTTAAAATTTAATGGAGGATATATGAAAAATTTGTAATAAAATTGTAATGATATAACCCATAAATAAGAGCCAAAAAAATCTCTAATTACCTTATAATTAGGACAAGACATAATAGAGAGGAAGGGAAAAGCAGCGGGAAGACATGGGCGGGGAAGGGAAGAGGAGGCCGCACCACCAAAAAGATTCATTTGGCGCGGACACTGTTTGAACTTCTTCAGCATTCTTCACTCTCTTTTTATTCCTTATATGCGCTTCCCCTTTCATGTCATTTCTTCATGAGGCCATCCAACTGAAGCTTCTGGGTTAAGAAACATCTCCCCTTCTCCCAACCCTAAAAAGCAATCCCACGCAATTCATATTTTATAAATTCTTTCAAACCTCCTCCTTTATTTTTGCTTCTCCCCTCTCTCTCTCTCTCTAATACTCTAGTTCCTGTGATTCTCTCCTCTTCTCTATCTTTACAAAAGCAAGCCACCGAGATCGAGTGAGCCATGGTTTTTTCTTCCATGTATCCTTATCTTGATCCGGCCAACTGGCAACAACAGGTATACTTTTACTGTTTCCCCCTCAATTCTCTCCTCTTGCTTTGTTTCTCCAAAAGCGATCATTCCAAAGACAATATTCTTCTCACTTTTGCTTATTACTGATGCCCCCATTCCCTGCTTCCTGAATATACCCAGATGTTAAATCTTTCTCTCTCATTACTAATTTTTCTTCTCCTTCCTCTTCCATGTCATGGCAGCAACCTGATCGTCAGATTGGAACTGGCGGTGGTCCGAGTTCTCAGCTTCTTCCTCCTCCGCCTCCGCTTCCTGCACAGTCTCATGGGGCCGGCGGTTCCGTCTCCATCAGGCCTGGTTCCATGGCTGACAGGGCTCGGATGGCCAACATACCGATGCCGGAGGCGGCGATGAAGTGCCCTCGGTGCGAATCCACCAACACCAAGTTTTGCTACTTCAACAACTATAGCCTCTCTCAGCCTCGCCACTTCTGCAAGACATGTAGAAGGTACTGGACCCGAGGTGGGGCGTTGCGAAATGTGCCGGTCGGTGGGGGATGCCGAAGGAACAAGAGAAGCAAAAGCAGCGGCTCAAAGTCACCGCCGGCGAGCTCTGATCCCCAGACGGCCAGTGCTAGTTCAACCAATTCAGTATCTTCTAACAGTGCTTCTGCTGCTGATATAGTAGGCCTTTCGTCTCAGGTTCCGCCTCTGAGGTTCACGGCTCCTTTGCATCAACTAACTGAGTTTGGATCCGGAGATATGGGATTGAACTATGGTTTGAGTAATTACAGCGCAATTTCAGGTCCAGTGGGAGGAGTGGGTGACTTAAGTTTCCATATCGGAACCGCTTTTCCGGGAGGAGCAAGTAGCAGCAGCAGCTCGATCTTATCCGCCGCCGCCGGTTTAGAGCAGTGGCGGCTGCCACAAGCACAACAGTTTCCCTTCTTAGCTGGCTTGGGAGCCTCGCCTGAATTGTACCAATTTGAAAGTGGAGCTGCAGTGCCCAGATATGGTGGCGGCGCAAGTCATCAACCCCGGCCAAAGGTTTCAACTGGGGTGATAACTCAACTAGCTTCAGTGAAAATGGAAGACCATAATCACCGGGAACTAAATTTGTCAAGGCACTTCTTGGGGATAAATAATAATTCGACAGATCATGAGCAGTATTGGAATACTACAGCCGGTAATTCTAATACTGCCGCTCCTAATTGGACTGATCTTTCTGGGTTTAGCTCTTCTTCCACTACTAGCAACAATCCACCATAGGAAAAAATATAATCAAAGAGAAATCTCTGTTCCTTTATGAAGCTTCTGGTTCTTTTGTTAGTCTGGCTTCAACTTCACAAATTAAACTTCTTAGCACTCCTCAACTTGTCAACATGGAGAGTAGAGCTGCTGAGGATAGTTGATGTGAGTACTTGGTTTCTCTAATTAAGATCTTATGAAAACGCTGGATATGTGTTAATTAGTTATTCTTCATTTAACCTTTTTTTCCGCTTTAACTAGTGTTAAGTAGTGTTACGTTGTTATGAGGATGTTAATGCACAATAGAGTGAATTTATGAGTAGTTCACCAGCAGAATGAATTATTTTCATCCGCAGCAGCTAAAATATTCTGGCGATGTTCAATGGTCACCCAAATCTCAAATGAACAGGTTCTTCTCTCTACATATGTTGGGAACTATTGTATTTTTGTGGAATGGTTTTATATATAATTTGGTAGGTAATTTCCTGCAATAGTAATTAGCCAGCGCCATCTCGATCAACTAATGAGAAAATTATATGTTAATATATAATTTATTAATTTTAGTGCATGCATGTAAAGTTTTTTCGGGTGCATGTCATAATCAATTATCATTACTGGTCTGGTCATTGGACTTATGATGACAGCCAAATTGAGCACCGTTAACTTAATCTTTTATGGTTTCTAGAACTTCAATTCCAAAAAATATGTAGTCTTTCTTGTTGTATATACATTCCTCATGTATTTTAAGCGTATCGTTGGAAAAAGGTGTGATTTTGTTCCTTCAAAAATTTGATTTCCTGTTTAATTAATTATTTCTTTCCCTTCAGAAATTAAGTTGATCTAGCTAATAACCACAGGCATAGGGCGCGCAGTCTCCTTGATGATAGATAATATGTGATTAAGTTGTTTAATATTTTGCTGCAAAAAGATTTACACAAATAATTTAAGCGTTATTTTATTAAAACCACCTTTATCGAAGGCATAACTCTAATAACGATAGCTTTATCAGCTGGTAGCATTATGCCTTTAGATGAAAGTTATTTCTAAATGACGATGTGTTTCATCTTTAAGTTATCAAACATTCTCTCTTGTCCTATTTATATAAAGGTAATGAGATAATTTTTTTTATTTTATTTATAAGTCATGTTATTAAATTTTTATCATGTTCTATTAAATGTTGATCAATTAGAGAAATTAAAATAATGCATTATTAAAGTATTTACATTTAATAGGGATAAAATTAAAAACTTATTAAATTTTAATATAAAGCTAATAAATTTTAAGGTTTAGTTAGATAAAATATGTTGAAAATTATTTATTCACAAATTGTAAGCGAATTATAGTACAAAACCTTAAAAAATTATAAATTAGTGACTTACTAGCCTTGAATGCAAGCTGATTTACATAATATGAAGTGGCCTGAGTTGGAACTCTAACGACCACATCAAAAGGTTCTAGGCATAAAACAAAAGATCGTACTACGACTCCCTCCAGTTTTCAGAATGAAATATTTTTAAAAGAGTTGGACAGTCTTTATTTAGTATTAATTAATTAATTAATTTTTTTAATATTACTCCTATATAAAGTCATTAATTATAGGAAAAATATAATACAAATTTAATTTTTTTTACTGAAATAAGGACAAAATCCTAAATTTATTTCATTTTAAAATAAAATTAATAACTTATTTACTTTTTTATTCTAATAAAATTATTAATTAATAGAGGCATCTGATATAAAAAATATTGGTGGCAGTATATTTGTATAGAAAATGTAAAATCCAAACCCGGTACTTTCCCATTTGTTCATTATAATAATTTGCAATTAATTTCGTGTCTCAAGATTGAAACTGCCTTTGTTTTTGTCAAAAAACGATGATTGTGATGGTTCATTCCATGCGCCGATGCGCAGTCAAACCTAGGTTGGTTAGAAGTACGGAGAAATTTGTAGCAGTTCGAGGAATCCTTGCCAATTATTCCCACCATCCTCGTTTATAATATACTGCTGCGGTGTATTGTTATAAATTATTTTTATCAATTTTATTAATATTAACATAAAAATAATATAAAGAATAAAAATATATAAAATTTTAAATATTTTTATATAATAAATTTAAAAAAATAATGTTATGTTATTTTTTTCTTTTATAAAAAATAATTTTAAAAATATATTTTAAATATTATCTTAAAAAAACACTGTGATTCATAAATGTAATCAAATGAACCTTATAGATGTAACTTACAATTGAGAGAACATTTTTTAAAATATTATTTTATTCCTTGAAATATAAGAGATACAATAATATTTTTAATTTTTAAATAATAATTAAACAATTTTGTTCTTGTCTTAAAAAGAAAAGATATATTAATTGTGTACTTTATTTAATAATTAATCAACTTTGTTTTTGCCTTAAAAAATATATATTAATTGTATACTTCATTTACTATCATCATGATATTAATTGTAATATTATTAAGAGTAAAATTAAAAAATTATTGTGATTTTATGTGATTTCAACTAAATAATAATTTTTTATTATTATGTGAGATTTAATTAAAAACACATTCTATATAAAATGAAGGTAATGTGCAATTCATATATGCCTAAATGCATATTAAACACACACACAAATAAATAAAGATGTAATAGACAATCTCAATATGGATGGAGATAATACAAAAGCAAGCTAAGCTTGGTAATTTTATAATGAAATTTGATTATGAGTGAATATGTATAGATAAGGCGACAGATGCATGCATATCCATCTTGGGTCAGGTGACTTCCAAGTACCCGTTGAAAATTTATTAATGATCAATTGTTAAAATCATTGAAGAATTATCGTTTTTGCACGAGAGAGGCAAGTTTGTCCCTTGTGTGAGAGAGAGAGATCAATGATTTGTAATAATAAATATATGGGGAATGGAGTGACTGATAATATTATGAGGGAGCAGGACTATATAGACACACAAATGAAAGCTTTTTGCCTAATATGGATTGGAGGCATTGGGGAGAGGAATGAGTTGAGGGAGGAGAAAGAGAAAGAGCATGAAAAGACGACAAAATGAAACTCAAAACATCATGGTAACTTGGACATCAGCATCTTCCTCGATATCCTCCCCGTATTGCAGGGCCTTGGTCTTGGTCATGGTCATGGTCATGGGCTGTACTTTCAGCAATCAAATTGAATCCTTTCCTTCATCTCGCTTCCTGAAACCGACAAAGATACCACTGCCATGACCTACTCACTCAACAGCCACGACGTACAGCTTAATTAATTATACAATTGCTCGAAATAAAGTGTTTTGAAATCGATTCCAATTACTGATTTGTTACCACCGCCATTAATTTAACCTCAAGTAATGTTTGTGCATGTGTGAGTGTCTGAGGAGAGAGAGCATTTCGGAGATTGTCACGCGCCCGGGCGCGTCATGGACCATAAATCATTGATAGGATTCTTGAGTATGGATCCCATGCTACCAGTTAATTATAAAGAATGGATGAATAAAGTAAATTAAAGTAATAGTTGCGTTCAAAAAGAAGAAGAAGAAGAAGTAATAGTTGCGTATTTAGGGACATGGTGGCTGCGGCTGCATGTGGGAAACTCGGTTAGAAACTTCCTGGATCCACCAAACATGATATTTGAAAATGGGATTGGTGTTGTTGGAAAGAAAGGAATCTTGTTTGAAAGAACCGAGGAGGGTGTCAGGGAATAAAGCAGCACACATATATGTGCACTCATTTTTATTGAAAACCCACAAAAAAACATCCATCATTTTCAACCTTGTTCATATCCGCCCTTCATGACATGCCTAGATTGAGTGACCATGATGTTAGTCGCACCAGTTGATGGAGTTAAGATATTTAATTTGTAGATCAGATACACCACACATTATGGAGGAATCAGGGTATATATATGATCTATTTTCCCTCAACTTGTGTGGAGCAGCTTTCACTTTAATAAACATAACTCTCTCATCCTCTTTCTAAGTTTGGGCTGTGAGATGAAGAGAGAAGCAAAAGAGAGAGTGAGATTCCCACTAGTCTTCACGTTATTCCACATGCTCTCAATCATTTTCCCATATCTCCCTCCCCATTCTCACATTTCCCCACCTTCCCCACCCCCAGCTTGTACATATATATTTTAACATCCATATAATCCCTGAATCTATCATTTTAATTTACAAACGTGCATATAATCCTTTTCTTATTTAATTTCTTCTTCATAACAAGCTAATTTTTATCTTCTTACAAAAAATTAAAAATATTTTCCCATGGGGGGAATTTCAATTAAGGACCATGGGTGGGACTTAATTATTAGTGGGTTCCAAAAAATTTTAAAACTTTAATTTAGTCTAGAGGGCTGAAATGAAAGTAATTTCAATGGTAAAAAGATCAAAGTATCATTCACTTATTATACAAAATTATTAATTATTAATTTTCTTGTTTCACTTATTAATTTGCCAATATAAGTTATAAATTTTATTTGTTTGTCAGACAAATAGAAATATTAATTGTTTTATTTGCTAACTTTACTTTTTAATTTACTAAAATCAATTTTAAATTATAATACTTGTCAATAATCTACAATTAATGTTAGTAAATTAATAAGTAAAGTCAACAATTTAACAATTAATATTGTTGTATGTTTATGATTGAACAACAAATGTCAAGTCTCATATAATTATTGACATATTAATTTATGTAATTTACAACTCGTAGTAAATTAATAAATAAATTAAAAAAATTAATAATTAATAATTTTGAATAACAAATAAATGATACTTTAATCTTTTTACTATTAAAATTATTTTCATGTCAGTCTCGTGGGACTAAATTGAAGTTTCAAACTTTTTTAAAATTCACTAATAATTTAATCTCATCTTTAATTGAAATATCCCTTGCTTTTTGGTCTTGACTGAATTTCATTTTTTCCTTCATGAAATAAAAATATTGGGGAACATGTGCGGGCCTACTTGCCAACGCAGGCTGGGGGACCCACATCTGATGGGAATTCAGAGCTGTAATTTTTTTCTTTATCAAAAGATTAAAATCCTCTAAAATTAAGATTCCTCAGTTTCTATGAAATTTTTCTATTTTTAGCATTTTATTATTATTATTTTATATAAAAGATACAATATTTTTCTTTCTTCAAAAAAGTAAACTTTAAAAAAATTTACACATCTCAATTTCAGAAAATTTAAATCCTATCACAAATGTTACTTTAGTTTGGAATTAGATAATCAATCTAATTCGTACATAAAATACTTTATAAAACAGACCAATAGGATACATTATTATCTCCTTGTAACCGTCATCCTAAATTCAAGAGCAAATGTGATACAAATTAAAAGAAAGATTAGAAAGCAATGAAAGAAATAGTAATGCAAAAAAATGAACGAGAGAAAAGAAATTATTACCGCATGAATTAAAATAATTATGTAATAATTAAATTATATGTAAACATAAGTGAGTATGGTATAAATGAAGATAAAGAA